TTAGATTCCTATGTCTTGGCTACTATGTAACATAATGTGTAATATAAATAACATTTTCAAAAATCGAAATTACTATGAATAAGAACATTTTATTTTAATAGTCATGGTCGAATTTTTCATAGTACCATTCTCCTACATAGTTCTAAGTATTTCTCATTGATCTCTCTCATTTTTATCAGCTGGAAAGAAGGCAGATGTGGTTTCCATTTCAGAAATGCTGTAATGGTAGCATATTCTCCAAATTATGAAATTTTCTGAGTGTTCTTTAGTTTTATGGCAGACAGCTGTAGATATTAAAACTAATTGTTTAATCTAGTATTATCTACCACAGGAGAAAATCATATTCTTTCTTATTGTCTCTCCCTACTTAATGATCTAACCAATTTGCAGAAAGGGAAAAGTTTTCACCTTATAAATCAGACATTAAAACCAGCCTACATTTTCTATTTAATTTCATATGAAAATACTTTCAATTTGCATCAACTTAAGTTTTACTCATTTTGATGGATTCCTTGACCTTTATAAGTATGCATCATACCTATATTTTCCTATATTCAAGGAACGTAATAACCCAACATTATGATTGAATCCATCTTCCTCTCTTAACACTTCTGCTGATGTCTTCATGACCTGGATTCAGCTTCCTCTTTGAGTCATCACTCTTCCCAAGCCCTCTGCATTCCAGCTGTATTAAGATACTCACATTTCTACAAACGGTCCGTCTTTTCTAACAACCATGCTTTTGAATATGTCTGTGATTCTTCACCCTAGAACCTAGGCCTCCTGAGCTCCTATCACTATAAAACACTCTACTAGATGTCCAGTATCAAAGATGCTTTAGACAAAGCACCCTGCATGGAAATCTGACAAGTAATCCAAGGGTAAATATTCTATTTTGTAGATCAGCAAAGGAGTAACTCTCTTAAAAAGAATCGAAATAGCAATGAAGGCTTAAGGCAAGACCAAGCTTTTTATATTAGAAAACGAATCCTTGAGGGAGAGGAGAACAGGAAGGGATGGTCCTGAAAGGGCTAGAGGTGGGTAAGGTCACTCTGGGTCTGTCTCTCTAATGTGGCACTACCTGCTCTGGTCAGCGGGACCCCAGTGTCCACTCCTCTGTGGTCTAGGGTACTTCTCAAGGGGAGGATTAGCGTTCCTTATTTAATGTCCACCTGCTTCACTGTACTGTCAGCCTGCAGGGCGTGAATTATATCTTGTTTGATCATGACTGTGAACCCTGAAGATAGTGCCTGACACCCAGTAGGGACTCAGCACGTATTTGATAAATGAGTAACAGCTAAAGAATCAAAAGAATTAGAATTTAAATCCATTCTAGACAAAGGGCCCAGTATTCATAGAAGAGACATTTTGGTGAACATGTGAGGGTCATTTGGGAATTGCCATACACACCTATTTGGGTACAAGTGGCAGGCCAGTCTCAAAAGGAAGTCAAAACCCATATTCCAGAAGCTTCATGGGATGTGCTGGGAAGTCAGAATTTCATCAGGAGGACATTGCAGTCACAGGAGAACATTAAGCCGGATATGTGATGGTCTGATTTTAAAAGATGATACTGGAAGAAATAGATGATTGGAGAGAGAAGGTTCAAGACAGAAGAACAGTTAGTGGGCTATTATCATTATTTCTGTGGGGAATAGAGGTGCTTGTTGTTAACAGAGAGGATACCCCTGTAGAAGGGAAAGCAACGTATATAAGATTTCAGAGTAAAGACTGGGAGTTTGAAAGGGAAGACTCTAGGATCAACCGCAAATTCTGCCTTGGGGGATTTGCTGCCATTCATGGAGATCAGAAAGCATACCTTGAGAAGCAGTTTGAGGATGAAAAGATGAGTTTCAATAATGCTGGCCTGTGAGTTTGAGACACTTGTGAAATATCCAAGAGGAAAAGTCAAGAGGCAGCAGAATACCAAATAGGGCTGTGGGGGGAGATGTCTGGGCTGGGTCGTGGAAGTCATCAGCTTAATAAATGACAGTTGAAATCACAGGAAACATCCAGGGAGCGTAGACAGAATGAGAAGAGACGAATCTTGAGACTCAAACTCAACATTTAAGGGGAAAGTGAGGAAGAGGAACCTGCAAAGGACACTGACAAGAGTCATCACCATGGCTGCAGGCAAACAAGCAAAGACGAAATAGGAGTATAGATTTTATGGATAATTTTTAGCAAATAGCGTCAAAGCAGACTTTAAAATTCAAGTCAATCTTTTAATTCCTGAAACTGGCTGTGGAAAATACATTTAATAACTAAAGAATGACAGTTGTTCTCTACAAAGTCCCAGAACAGCCTGGTTTGTAAGAATTTTAAAATTCACCTTATAAAACAATGCTTATATTTAAAGACCTAAGGTAAATGCACATAGATGTGAATAAGAGGGAAAAAAATTAAAAGGTAAAGTTAAAAGAATGAAATCAAGAGATCATTA